GAGAGAGAGAGAGAGAGAGAGAGAGAGAGAGAGAGAGAGAGAGAGAGAGAGAGAGAGAGAGGGCTAAGGTTGATGGGTGCTGCAATCACATCAGATCATGATTTTGTGTTTTGTTGACATCAACGTGCCTGTGTGGCTTGTTGATATGTCAGCTTGGAAAGACCATCCCAGGCCTTAAGCTGCCAATGCACTTTTGCTCCCACCGTGGATTGTGGTTGTGCACAAGGCGGGCGCAGGTCAGCTCTGCCTACCAGGCAAGCCCAACTGCATAATGGCGTGGAGGTCCAGGGTGGGGTGGAAAATGAGGTTCGGCAATTTTGCTTTTGGCACAGTGATGGTCTACACGTGAGAAGTAGATATTCCGCGGTCAGTGAAAAGTATTTGGGATTTATTATAGCTGCTTGTGATAGTCTGTGCCGATGTTATGTGTACAGCTGCTGGTTGAAGTAAGGGAAATTTTGCCTGCTAGAAGAAAATGCTGGATGGGCGTCCAGACTCCATGAATATAGTCGTTGACAACGACTATATTCATGTTCTCTTTATTCTCGGACCTTCTGGAGTCTAAAGAGTGCCAAAGTAGAAGTTCAACAAAAACGGTCCCGATAGTAGTTTTGGAGGTTCAGCCATTTATTTTTTTATCTTTTTTTAAAAAGGTTCACCCATTTACAAGTGAGCGTAGAGGGGAAGAAGGAAATGTGGCAGCAGCTGCAGCTGTGGCCCTCCACTGTGTGGAGGCCCTGCAGCTGCGGCGAGTTCAGAATTTGCTGGGCAAACAGCAATCTCAGGGAGTTGATACTTTATCGGCGACTTCGAAATTCGCTGGGCAAACAGCAATCTCAGGGAGTCGATATTTTATCGGTTTTGTGACTTTTGTCCGACTTCATCGGCTTCTTGGGCGCACAATCTCAGCCAGGACAATGTGAAAATACAGTTGTTGACTTCCGTCTGTGTTAGCAATCATCAGATGTGGTGCTGCCCTCCCCTGTATGGAGGCCCTGCAGCTGCGGCGGCTTTGGAATTTGCTGTGAAAACAGCAATCTCAGACAGTCGATATTTTATCGGTTTCGTCCGGACTTGATCGGCTTCTTGGGCGTACATTTTTTCAGTCAGGACACAAATGTATGGGCCAAGTGCTGGTGGTTTAAGAACAGCAAATGTTGGCTGCGATGAGCCCTAGGGATAACACGGCAATTACCGGATGCGAGGGAGGACTCCTCGGGAAAGCTTCAAGAAGGGTGCGCGTGCGCGACCATTCTTCGATTTTCCCTTTGCCAGATGTTTTCGACATCTACTGAGACGCCGTTCAGCTCTTAATCTGAAGGAGGCCTTAGGGTGTGTCATTGTCTTCGGTTCACTTTCCCCATCGAGCGAGCAGATCGTGAGTCGGAATCGTCATGACAGATCTGCGGACACTTGTCAGACACGTTACGAATTGCTGGATGCCACGCCTTAGGCATGATTCTGCAGCAGATTCGGGCCTCGGGGTTATCAAACCAACTTCATAGCCGGTCGATAAGCATCTGTATATCACCTTCTAGATCACCTACATGACCGTGCAGTCCTCGCTGCACATGCTTCAACTGTCAGCACGACAACAAGTAGATCGATGTGATGTTGCATCCTTGTCAATAGCGTGGTGACGGTGCATTGACGGGAATTCCTACTTTATTGCATTTTCCATCTGTGGAGAGCTGAGAGAGACAGGGTGAGCAGAGTTGACCGCGTTATGCATTACAGACAAGCCGTAAAGTTTTTTTAACCGGATAGGAAACCCCGCTGGTGCCGTGTCTGAATAGCGCCATGCGTAGCAGGATTTTTGCAAGGCAAGACTGACCTGCGATTCTGCGAAGGTTTGATGATAGTGGTTGGGGAAAGCTCTGCATTGCGACTTTGCAATGATGTTGGGGCATTAGGGGCATCAGGGTATGTGACCGTTAGCATCCCTTCTCGCCCCACCCCCCCCCCCCCCCACCCCCCCCCCCCCCCCCCCCCCCCCCCCCCCCCCCCCCCCCCCCCCCCCCCCCCCCCCCCCCCCCCCCCCCTCTCTCTCTCTCTCTCTCTCTCTCTCTCTCTCTCTCTCTCTCTCTCTCTCTCTCTCTCTCTCTCTCTCTCTCTCTGTGTGTGTGTGTGTGTGTGTGTGTCGAAGATGCAAATGGACCGGTCATATAGAAGCACCGATGGTGGAAGCCACGGGCAGGGGTTTGTCATGAATATTGAGCGCCTTCAATGTGAACATCAAGCGTTGTTGGTGCAGATGCCGATGGTCTTTGCCGAAAGCTCATGACAAAGCTCATTGTAAATGCAAAAGGCTTTTTCACCAAGAACACTAAGTCTCTGTTTAGGGTGTATAATACTGTATATGCTTAACTGCATTACTGCTTTAATGCTTGCCCCAAAGAATGAAAGGCGCACCTTTTTCAGGAGAAGCTTTTTTAAGGATGACACTGCCAAGAATACCAACAATGCCTGTCGTACCTTAGGCAGCTTATGTAGCAAGCGTCTTCCTCTGAAGTCCGGAACCCCTTGTAACCCCTTTACGACGGTCTCAGGTGCGTTGTGGTCGGGGCAAGACGATGTCGTCCAGGTGCGTTTTTCAGCAACAAGGAGGCATACATCAGCAACAAGATGGAAGTCCTAGTCGTTAAACCACCTCTACCTGCGAGCCGCCGCTTTTTGCCAAAGCGGAAAAGAAGTGTGCGCCAAGCTTTGCCGAAGCGCCAGCACGACTTTCTTGTTTGTTTTGGCTGGTGGCGCCAGCTGTTTTGGTCGGGTGGCACCCGGCCTCCGGACCAAGAATCAGGAGAGAGTGTTTTGGGGGACGGAAAAACCAGGGGGAAGATGACCGAACTTTTTGGAAAATTCTGCGTGATCCGTTATGCCTTTGAAAATGATGCAAGAACTATGTGAAAATGATGCAAGAACTATGGGCCTCACTTCGTCTATTTGGACTGCCAATGGACCAGATACATCCTGTCTGATCTAACATTTTGAGAGTGTCTCGACCAAGACCAGCTCCAGATACATTTTGAGTTGTGTGCAGTTGAGCGAGGCCTTACGTGTTAAGAATGACGACGTCTCTATAAATAACCAGGGAAGATCGACCTTTAAGATGGGATGATGACTAGTTTGAAGTTTCTGTACTGCTATGTAATTTGTCATTACATTATCATCTTACAAACAGGAACCGAAGTCGCGATATTGTGGCGTGTCAGCGGCGTGTGTGTGTGCTCTCGGTCGTGCGATTCAGCACAAATGGGAGTCGCACGTCCGCACTCTCATACCACCCAAAGATGTTAATGCTGCCCATCTGAAAGAAACCGGTTTTCTGGTGACCAACCCTCGACGTGCCGATCTCCAATTTCCAACCGATCGATCTCTGTTTTCCGATGGGAATGAAGAAAGTCCACTCCTGGTGGCACCTTGTGCGGCGAAACCCTCCTGAAGCAACCGGGCATTCATTTCAGGTGAAGACAGTAGCATTGTAAATGTATTGATTGTTGTTGACACCCTAAGATATACGTGGGAATTTTAGCAGGCGTTGAATTGAACCGCCTGCCTCTGTGCCAGCCAGACGCAAGTTTTGTTCTTGATGAGGGATTGCGACTTGCATCGGCCTGTATCGTCCGCATGACGATGATGCCAAGCAAGTAGCAATATGGCTCTCATGGTCCGGATGATAGCAAGCACCGCCGCTGAGACATGTGTGTGATATGGCTCTCGTGGACAAGTTCGCTCCTACTGTGTCTTCGAATCCAAACTTGGGTTTGAACCCGAGCCCAAACCCGAGCCCTGGATGGTCGCAAGATTATGCTCTCGAGTCTCGAGGTTGAATTCCTGACGTCGGATGCTCTGAGAGATTGCACCCCCTCTGGGATCGGAAGACTGGCCGCTCCTACCTTCTTCACCCAAATAGAACTCCTCACGGTCATTTATGTCCGTTTTTGGCGCACCTTTCAGTCCAGATGCCGCCATAATCACCCAGGCATTGTATTCTGATGACGACGGTAGGACCGGCCTCCCAAGACCCGACTCCCAAGATTTGAATGCCAAGCTTGTGGCAGGACTATAGAGACTGAAATCTCAAGATCTGAGGAGGGGTCGAGCAAACGCGTCCAACTCCAAAGGATGCACACGGTAAAGCAGATCGAAGCTGGGGGATGCAAGCCCTACTCATGTGGGGCTTTCAGGTTTCTAAGATTGGACTGTAAAGGATGAGAGAACTCCCCGGGTTGGGTGGGTTTAGGGTTTAAGGTTTAAGGTTTAAGGTTTAAGGTTTAAGGTTTAAGGTTTATATTCTCCGCGGGTAGACTCTTTTGAGGCTTTCAGGTTGGTGCTCTGAGGTGTGAGAGTTGGGGAGGTTGGGAGCGGCAAGCGGTTTTGAACTCAACTTTGAAATTGAGTTTAGGCCCTTTAGGGTTGGATTCAAACTTGAACTGTAATCTCAACGGAAGTCGGGTCTGAAATTGAAATTGAGTTTGTCTCAGTTTGAAGTTTGAACTCAACTTTTTTTCCAAGAGTTTGAACTCAACTTTTTCAGAGAGTTTGAACTCAACTTTTGCATAGTGTTTGAAATTGCAGAGAGTTTGAAGTCAACTTTTGCAGAGTGTTTGAACTTTTTTTCAGAGAGTTTGAACTCAATTTTTTTCAGAGTTTGAAAGCGGAAGCGGAGTTGGAACTCAAACAGGAGAGACTGTCAAGTTTGGGACGGTGATGTGCATTGGGACAAACCATGGGAGAATTCTCAGCTTCTGCTGAAGTCAGAAAAAGTCGATGCAGACAGAGAGGACTCTATGGGTATGTTCTACTATGTTAAGGTTTTCTTCTCCCTGGGATTGAGTGGTGGTGTGTTCAACCATGTCCTGGAGCAAGAGAGTGGCTGGAGCTTGGCACCGTCTATCCTCAACGCTTATCCATTACGGATAAATTATCCATTATGGATTAAAAAAGAAGGGAAAAAAAAAAGGTTATCCATGATGGATAATAGTAGTTTTATGGATGACTGGGTATAATAGAGTGGCACTGGCACCCCTATTTTTGACTGGGAGGAGGGCTTCGGCCTCCTCTTTGGAAATTTCAACTTCATGATAAGTTTGAAATATAATTTCCTTCGGCTTTCTGAACTCTCCATGGAGGCCTCCACCTCTCCTCCTCCTCCTCCTCCTTCTCCTCCTCCTCCTCCTCCTCCTCCTTCTTCTTGCTTCGTCTTCGTCTTCTTCTTCTTCTTGCTTCGTCTTCGTCTTCTTCTTCTTCTTGCTCCGTCTTCTTCTTCTTCTTCTTCTTCTTCTTCTTCTTCTTCTTCTTGCTTCCTTTCTTCTTCTTCTTCTTCTTGCTTCGTCTTCTTCTTCTGCCTACTTCGGTCTCCTCTTTTTTTGAATGTCCTGCTTTTTTCTTCTCTTTCTTTGTTTTCTTCAGCTTTCCGTACTCTCCACGGAGACTTCCACCCCTCCTCCTGTTTCTGAACTCCTTGCTTTTTTTTTTTCCGCTCTTTCTTCGTCCCTTTGTTTTGTTTTCTTGCCCTCTTAATATGGGCCTCCCCAGCTTTTCTGATTTTTTTTTGCTTTCCTCCGGCTTTGTCTCCTTTTTCTCCTTCCTTTCCTTGTTGCCTTTAGTTTTTTTTCAATTTTTTTGTCTTATTTGGCCCATCTGAACCTATTTTTCTCAGTTTGTCCGCGTCATCCTTACTTAGGTGCTATTCTGATCTTCTCTGTATCGTTCCATGGTTTGTTTTTTTTTTGTG